AAACCTTTGTGGCCTCAGAATCCTTCTCAACTCAGGGCTCTGCGAGCCATACCACTGGAGCAGTGGGACAGTTCTGGAGGACTCTTCCAATTCCAAAATTCCTCATAGGATTGGCATCCATATATACAATACGCCATCCCTGGTATAAAAGCCCACCTTCCCTAGGTTAGTTTGGGTCTTTTGAGAAGCAGATGCTGAGACAGGATTAATTGTGCGTATGTTTATCCGGGGAAATTGCCATGACAGGAAATGGTGAGGCTGGAAGAGCCATCGGACTGCCAACGAAGGAAAGAGAGACTTTCCAAGTGCAGTTCTAAGTAAAGTTTAGCAAGGCCATCGGAGTGTCCTCAAGCCCCTGTCACCCATCAGAGGAGTCCCGAGCCTGCCAGGAATGGGCCTCGGTATCCCCCCACCATGCTCAGTCACTGGTGATGGGAAACGTGGCCTTTGCTCAAACGCAGTGATGCTGGGCCCGGACGTTGGAGCTCTGTGGATGTGACCACAGAGTCGTGAGGGACGACTGAGAAACTGGAATGTGGTGCATGCAGGGCCAGAGCCTGGGCAGTAGCAGACGGACTGGCGTTGTTGGCATCTTCCTCCCAACATGGTGGCCAATGGCCAGATCCAGACAGGGAGAGAAGGCTAGGAACTTCATTGGCCTGAATTTGGACAATGAGATAAAGCGAAGGAGTCAGAATCAAAAACTAGGTAGACCCTTAGTAATCCTCCTATGCATTGTTAAGAACTCTGGGGAACTGACCTGACATATTTCTGGTCTCTTCAGTGGCCCAGATGAAGCTGTTTTAATCAGTAATTATGTTAGAAGCTATAATTAATTACAGCACTAACAACAAAAACCATTGATAGGCACCCACTAAGTATTCGTAGTTAGTATTAAAGAACGGCTCTTGACCTCAGGTGTTTTTGGTGGCGTTATAGCATTGGCAAATTCAACCAGTGTGTGCTGCAAACACACACACACACACACACACACACACACACACACACACACACACACACACACAGAGCAACCCCATTCACTTTGAAGAGAGACATTTGCACAAAAGGGCCAGGAAAAGTCAGTTACCCTAGCTGGTATTCCTTCAAAGAAACAGAGATTTGCTTCCAGTGTTGGATAACATATTTTTAGACTCTAGTTTGAAGAGCTTCCACCTTTTACTCATGGCCTTACGTCTACAGAACCCCACAGGCCTAATGACTTAAAGAAAAGCATCATTTGTGCCAGTTGGGGCAGACGTCTGTCCTTTAGATACACCTCCGCAGCTGATTCCCATTAGAGGCTGGGGCCACCGACGCAACTGTCCAAACATGGGTGGCTGTAAACAGCAAGCTCGGCTGGGGGTACTTACAAAATCCTCAAGATTGTCTCTCCTCTAACTCAACACGCCGTGTGAGTCGTGCCTTCCCCTGCCTCCACATTCAAATATCTGAATAATAAATAGCACAAGGACGATTCCAAGTGTGGCTTATGTACACCAATTAGGCTTCAATGATCTGAAGTAGGAATTTGCTACCCGTTGAACAGATAAGGAAGCAGTGTTTACAGAAGTTACTTGAGGTCGCATCGTGAGTCATGAGGCCGTATCAGAACATGAACATTTGGCCTCATCTGGGCTTTTTTGTCAGATCCTATGTTTCAACTGGTCCAGCATTGCACTGCCAGCAGAGGGCTTCACCAAACACACTCTGGCGATCGATCAGAGCACTTGGCAGAGGGGCCATCTTCGTCATCAAATTTCTAAAGCAAAGTCCAAACAACTCTGCCATTGATTATTAAGTGACAACACATGTTTTGTGTTTTTTGTTTTTTTTTTAAAAACCCACCTTTTGGCCGGGCGCTGTGGCTCACGCCTGTAATCCTAGCTCTTGGGAGGCCGAGGCGGGCGGATTGCTCAAGGTCAGGAGTTCAAAACCAGCCTGAGCAAGAGCGAGACCCCGTCTCTACTATAAACAGAAAGAAATTAATTGGCCAACTGATATATATACATAAAAAATTAGCCGGGCATAGTGGCGCATGCCTGTAGTCCCAGCTACTCGGGAGGCTGAGGCAGAAGGATCACTCGAGCCCAGAAGTTTGAGGTTGCTGTGAGCTAGGCTGACGCCACAGCACTCACTCTAGCCTGGACAACAAAGTGAGACTCTGTCTAAAAAAAAAAAAAAAAAACCCACCTTTTGAATATAAAAGAAATAAGTAAAGAACTTTAACCCTAGCTGGGTAACCACAGTAAAATAGTTAATCTACCATTTTATCCATTTGTAGAGAATTCTGCTTTCCAATGGTGGCATGAAGACCCACTGAAAATGATGGGAAGACACTCCCTGAAAAGTAAGAGCCCTTCAAATTACAAATACTAAAGGTGTTGATCCTCGAGATGCTAATTGGCCTTCCAAATAATCCAACACTGCAAGGGCTACACATACATCCATTATGTTCCTTGGCCACTGTCCCTCCCATTAGCACTAATGAACGTTTCCGGGACCTGCCTGGCCACATTCCCATCATAGATACCAAGTTAAGGACATGCACCACATTGGAAATTCAAAGTATTTCCCTCCCCTAGGAGTCATTTCATCATGTTTTGATTGGAATATATCCCTAACTCTATTGTAATAAAAGACAATTGAGTTAATAGCATGTTGCATTTGGGAGGATGGCTCAGGATTTGTCTGAAAAGCAGTGATGCTTTGGGATTTTTTTTTGTTTAAATACTAAAAATAAGAAGGAAAATTTGGAGGAAACCCAGCTCCTAAAGATATTGTATCATTCCAACCATTACATATGAGAAAGTTCAATATATGCTTCTTAATCATTATTTTTGTCAAATGTGTATTTCCTGCAATTTCTTCCACTAGCCTTAACTGTATCAATTTTATCATAGCTATGAAGTCAGTATGAAAATCATGCTACAGTCTTTACTTCACCCAGGCAGTTGTTCTATGGTTCATCTTTAGAGTTAAGAAAAAGACATAAAAAATTTAAAATATTCATCTGAAGAGTGAATATTTCATGAGGAAATCAAGAAATCAAATACCATTTTACTGTAGAGACCATCATGAGAGAACAAATGATAAATTTCAATTTTACTTTAAAAGAATCCATCAATAATTTCCAGAATGTGCACACATGCACACACACTTGCACACACACTTCCCCACGCACCCTAACACACACTGTCATGTACACACCCCATCACATGTGCATTCCCACACGCATCTCCAACATAGGAACCCTCACACACACGCACACACACGCCCACAATCCTATAGTAAAAGAGTCTCAAAAGTGGACAGTCCAGTTAAGAGGAGTTAGTTGAGAAGGGGGAGTTTCTACATATTTCTATATTTAGAATTCTTCCTATGGGAAGCTGTTCCCCTCCTCTCTCATTTATTGATTTATTCCATCATTTATTTATACAGTATGGACACATAAATATTTACTTTATTCTTTGGGTTACAACCCAACAGTATGGTTATTTTGCTGCTCAAATTATTCCACTTTTTATTCACACGCGGGAGCAAAAAATGAATGAGTTACTGCTGCACAATTGGGAATGGGCACCCAAGATGTTCCTAAGGTAATATTAATATTCAGTTGAATGGTAGGTAAAATACTTGGGCATTTGTTTTATTATTAATATTCAAATTATATGTCTCTGCATATGAACATTATATTCATTATTTTGTATACATTTACACTAATAAAGTTACCTCCTCAAAATGAAATAGATATAATTTTTTACCCAATAGGCTGTTAAAAACAAATGTTCGGGCCGGGCGCGGTGGCTCACGCCTGTAATCCTAGCTCTCTGGGAGGCTGAGGCGGGCGGATTGCTCGAGGTCAGGAGTTCGAAACCAGCCTGAGCAAGAGCGACACCCCGTCTCTACTATAAATAGAAAGAAATTAATTGGCCAACTAATATATATACAAAAAATTAGCCGGGCATGGTGGCGAATGCCTGTAGTCCCAGCTACTTGGGAGGCTGAGGCAGGAGGATCGCTTGAGCCAGGAGTTTGAGGTTGCTGTGAGCTAGGCTGACGCCACGGCACTCACTCTAGCCTGGGCAACAAAGCGAGACTCTGTCTCAAAAAAAAAACAAAAAACAAATGTTCATTCATATTAAATGAGGGCAAGGATATGGACAGTATGAATTGTAGTTTTATTCTGTGGGGCATTTTGGTAGCATTTTAAAAAATGTAAATTGGCCATTTCTATGAACTGCAAGTTCACCGCTCAGCACTAACCTAGACAAACAACCCTGGGAGCACTTCGCGAGGCAACATGCAAAAGTGTTCAGTGCAGCCAATTTTTAAAAAGCAAAATAATTGAGAGTGACCTAGATACCATTAATTAAGCCAATGACTAACCTACGATCCAGCCATACTACCAAATAGTATGAAAGACTAAAAAGAATGATTTGGAACTATTTAAGCTTAACATGAGTAGATCGATCTTCAACACACAGTGTGCTATAAAAAGGCAACTTGTAGAACACATAAGAGAAGACACCTCTAGGGGTATATGTGTTTGTTATTTTTATTTGTTCAGAATTATCTCCAAAAAAGAATTTGCTATTTTAAAAAGCCTAAAAAAATTGTTCTGCTTAGGCCATTGGGGACTCTTTCAGGCTGGCTCTTGCCTCTCTCTGCAAACTAGTGTACGGACTAGATCCAGCTTCTTGAAAGCAGGGACAATGTCTTATTTGACTTTGGAGAACAGAAAATGCCTTAATCATAGATGTTACTGGGCTAGAAGTTAAAAATCAGAATTATTCCTCTGATTTAACAAATACTTTTGAGCGTGAGATGGCACAACAAACAGCTTTCTCTAGGCCAGTACTTAACATGTATAGAGCGTGTAATGTGGGACATGTCATGCTACATGATGTCATTGCATCTCTACAACCACCCTGTACAGGTGAGGTTCAACATATTTGAACAACCAGTATTGGTGTGAGCACTATGGGCCAGTCAGAACCCACCTTGGCCTTGGCCATGGAGGAAGGTTCTAGCAGCCTCCTGCAGGGTCAGGTTTTAGTTCCTCAGCTGCTGGAGAGGTCCAGGTCCAGGGGCTTCTGAAAAATAAGACCGAATGGCTGGGTCAGTGGGAAGGGGGTCTACAGGTGCACACCAACAGATACTGAAAGGCAAGGATTATTATACCTGTTTTATAAGTTGATGTCAAATAATGTCCCCAAGGAGACAGAGTTGGAGACAAGTCTAGGCATTTCAGTAGTGTTCTGTTCACAACAGCATGAGTATTGTAAATTAAGGAAATGAATTTAAAATTTTAAACGAAACCAGATTCAGAAGCACTTTTACCTTTTCTCATAATTCCTTCTCATGATAGGAAATGACACATTGCATTTAAATTTTAAACTGAGGACGCTCAAATCGACCCCTGACACTTCAACAAGACTTCCTGTCTCCAGGGGAAAGAAACGACATTTTTTTAAATTTAAATTTAAATTTTTATTTCAGTATATTGTGGGGGTACAAATGTTAAGGTTGTGTATATTGCCCATGCTCCCCCTCCTCCCTCGAGTCAGAGCTTCAAGCGTGACCATCCCCCAAACATTGCACATCTCACTCATTATGTTTGTATATACCCACCCCTCCTCCCCCCTCCCACCCGCCTGACACTCGATAAATGTCACTCCTATATGTCCACTGAGGTGTTGATCCGTTAATACTAATTTGTTGGTGGGTACACATAGTGCTTGTTTTTTCATTCTTGAGATATTTCACTTAATAGAATGGGTTCCAGCTCTATCCAGGAAAATATAAGAGGTGCTATATCACCATTGGTTCTTAAAACTGAATAGTACTCCATGGTATACATATACCACATTTTATTAATCCATTCATGTACTGATGGGCACCTGGGTTGTTTCCACACCTTTGCGATTGTGAACTGTGCTGCTATACACATTCGAGTGTGAATTTGAAGAAACGACATTTTTTAAGTTGTGTTTTTTGATATACATGAAGTATGAAAGTGAATTTTTCTGTTTTCCAACATAGGGTTCCATCCTTCTGCAGCAATGCCTTGCTCCAAGTTAATGTCCTTGGCCACAAGGCTTCCTCCTCCTTACTCTGCTTCACTGTCCTCCTGTTGGCCTGCTCAGCTGGGGCTGATAAGGGGCTGCTGTTCCATTGGGCAGTTCTTTCTAGGTTCTTCGTTTTATTCTTCATTCTTTAACACAGATCCTCATCCCTGGGTAGAGGTGCAGGTTTGCACTGTCTGAGTTCCAGCAAGGGAGGCAAGCTGAGGCATGCACCTGTGCAAACGTGTGTGTGTGCGCGTGCGTGTTTGTGCCTGTATGGGGGATTGCAGACCATGGGATCGATTCTGCTTTTTGCTGACTCATTCAAAACCCCAGAGGTACTAGCTTTGAACAGGTGCAATTATAACAACGACAGCAACAAAAAAACCAACCCCCTCCCAAAACCTTAGCAGGTATTTGTATAAGAAGACAATCTTACTAATCTTCTGAGAATTGAATATTTACTCTTTACAACATAATATGCAGGCAAGATCACCACAGTGCATTGGACTGTGGTTAGGGAATCCAATAAAAATAAACAATATCATTTTTTCTATACATTTTATGTGGAGGTGGAGGTAGATGGTAATGGTGTTTACTTTGGGTGGGTTTGATTATTCTCTTTCTAAATCTAGCAACTCTGCTTTTTTTTAATGATAGGAATTATAAAAAAAAATAGTGTTCAAATAATGGTGTTCATGTGGGAACTGTGAACACAGAATTGAGACTGTGTATATTTCAAACAAAAGAAGATCTTTGGATCCTTCTAGATGCAGGTCAAAGCCTTCCCTATTAAAAAAATCAAACGGAATCAGTTAGCACTAACTAAAAAGTTATGGTTTATATTAATATCATTCCCTTAATGGAGAATCTAATGAATGTTGAAATGTACCTCCTGGCCCAGGTTCACAAGACCTTCCACAGCCTGGCTCCCACCCACGTATCCACCAGGGTCCTCAGTATCTCCTAGAGCTGTCAATTCCTGGGCCATCTGCCCCCACCTCCTCTAGGATGGGCAGGGTCACCAAAAGTGCAATCCTCACAAAACATGAAGCAGTAGGCAACCACGTTTGAAGACAGAATTTCTAATTTCTAAGCCTCAAGTTCTTTAAAGTGGAGCTGATAATAGAATGTCTTGTGATAATAGGATGTCTTGTGACTTAAATGAGGTAATGGATTATAGGTCCCTTACAAGAGAGTTAATGCTCAATTAGTCTCAGCTCCCACCGCTGTGCTCAGTCCTTTCTTGAAGAGTGAGGGACCAAGAGGGACTATTCATAGGTGAGGGAAGCCAGCAAATAGATTAACCAGCATCCTGTTCCAGGAATGGCATAACTTAATAAGCTCTCTCAGAAATTTGACTGGAAAATACTAAGAGGAAAAGTTTATTACTTATGAATACTGAAGCTGATGAAGACATAGAAGAAAGATCACACTGGGAGACTGTGATGAGCCCCAGGCAAGCTCAATTTTTAGGCCTCTCTGACTTTTGCCTTCTGGAAACATTTGTTGGACTATACAATTTACTCGTTTAATTGTATACGTTTGTTACTTCTGAATTTTGAATGTGTGCGTGTTATTTTTGTGTCCTTGTATCATTAAAGGTTCAGATGAAACAATTATAATGACTCCAGGTATCTCAAACAGAGGGAATTTAGTATAGGAAATTGGCCACACAGGCAAAGAAAGAGCTGAAAATTTAAACAGGGAATGGGAGGTTAGTGGTAACAGCAAGCTAGTACCAACCCTAGGACTGGAGAGAGGGAAGATATACATTACCAACGTCCAGAATTTGGGGCCATCTATTGGAAGCTGGAATCATAATAGGTTTCCAGGCAGGAAGCAGGATCAGGAAGAGAGGGGCTGTTCTGCAGAAATAGTACTATAGACAAGAACCGCCTACTTCCACATGAAGCAGAAAGTGGAGGAAAAGTCGTCTGACTTTTGTCCTCCTCTTGTCCCTCAGTCTTGCACCAGTGCCTCACATTGGCCAAACCACCTGAAAGCCAGAGGGCAACAGAGCCTGAGGAATGTAGTTCCCTAAGGAATGAAGCAGAGAACAAAAAGAAAAGGACCAGCAAGGCCCAACCACACAACTGCTCAAGGGTAAGTACTACATCATTAACTGGGTGTTTTCTCCCCATAGATGGTGAAAGAATTATTCTTATGAAAGATGTGTATTATTGCCTCTGTTTGGAGTGTAATCCTCTCTCTAAAGATAAGAGCTGTTAGAGGAGGAACACTGAAACTCCATAGTCAAATTCAAGAGAACAGACTTAAAAGTAAAAAGGATATTTTTCAACTCAGAGAACTCTGCAGCTCATGTCTAATGTTTTCCAGCTACAGCCTGATGACTCAGAAGATTTTTTTTTTTTTTAAATTTTGTCTCAGCAAATCTTGATTATCAGTGTGATCAGCCTTCTCTCTTGGATCTGGAGGGAATGATTAGCAGGAGGCTAGCTGTGAACTGGTCTAGATAACTTTGCACTTGTAAGGGATTCATTTTGCATTCTCAATCTCAAGGATATTTAAAATGGCATTCAAATAAATGTTTGCACACAACCCATGTTGGTGACAGATTCTGAATTTTGGGTACTATTTTATGTAATTGCTTCACTACCTTCCCAGGCACTCTGGTGTGTGTATAACTGCATCTCAATTAAAATATCAAAGCAATTGAAAAATCACAGGCAGCTCTTACATTGTAAATACTAATTTTAGCTCACCTTTGCAGTGTCAGAAATTGTATCCGCTTGTAGAGTGCCACTGGGTGACACAGGTTTTGCCATATCCATTGCTTCATAGCAGAGAGATCAGAGAGGTGAATGTCAACAAGACTGGACACTAACTAGTAAAGTGAGCTAGACGTCTTCACCACCGGAAACCCTAAAGGAACTCCTTCCAAGCTTAGCATTAACTCATCCTGTTCCTACTTTGCCTTAAGGAGTTCACCCACAGCGCATTTATTTTTAAACAATCTTTGCAAAGAGCCATCACCTTACCCACAAACAAATCAAAGACTTATTGGACGTGGGGCTGAAAATATCCCTGGATGTCTCTGGAGCCTGGGATTCCATAGATGCGAGCCCCCGTTGTTTGTAACATGCTGCATGTCACACGTTTGTCTCCTGAGGTCATCCCTTGTTCATAAAAACATGACCTTTCCTGCCACGTCTAGGGGGAATCGATCCAGCCACAAGGATGTAGGTCTGGCCTGTTCTAGAAGGCAGCGAGGAAGTCCTCCGGTTTCCACACTTCCTATCTCACTACCGGTTCCTGGAAATGGGGCCCGTGTCTCCTCTTTCACTCCTTTAAGCGTGTCAGGAGGGAGAGCCGGGTACTGGCGGGGCGTCTGCCAGATTCCCACTCCCCGTCTTCGTCTGGGAATCGCCTCTCTCCACACACACACAAGAAGGGCCCCTGGGCGGCCATGTTTACACAACCCACCTTCTTCCCGCCCTGATTGGACTAGAGCAGTCACGTGAGCCGTGGAGCGCCAATCAGCAGAATCTGCAACTGAGGGACCACTTCCGGGTGGTCTGCTGCCTTGGAGGAGGCGTAAGTAGCCATGTTGGCCGAGGACATGCAGTTCAAGAGCAATTACATGTAAACAGAGGGAAGAACAAACCTGCTGTGCAACAAATTACCTAAAACTTAGCAGCTTCTTATTATTTTATTTTATTTTTTTAAGAGACAGAGCCTTGCTCTGGTGCAATCCCGATAACCTCGATCTCCTGGGCTAATTTTAAAAAATGTTTTTAGAGATGGGGTCTTGCTATGTTGCCCAGGCTAATCTCAAACTCCAGGCCTGAAGCGATCTCCTGGCATAATTTAGCAGCTTTAAACGACAAACGTGCATTACCTCACGCAGTTTCTGAGGGTCAGGAATCTGGGGCTGGCTTAGCTGGGTATTTTTGGCTCAGGGTGTCTCATGAGTCTGCAGTCCAGATGTGAGCCAGGGCTGGAGAATGTGCTTCCAAACTCACTCATGCGGCTGCTGGCAGGAGACTTCAGGGCCTTGCCACAGGGTCCTCGCCATAGGGCTTCTGACCAGACACAACAGCTGGCTTCCCCAGAGCTGAGAGACAGAGTACCCAAAATGGTGGTTGTAACTTTCTGAAATATATATTTGGTCTTCATTTACTGTTTCCACAGGAGGCGTACAGGTTTAAGAAGGTATACAACTCCTAAAATCCTTAGAATCTCCAAAGTGATGTCTTTTTTTTATGCTAAGGAGTTCACCGATAGCTGGCAGCCCCTAGGTAGCTCCAGATGGAAGCTGGTCACCAGGAAGATCAAGGCAGGGTTAGAAGGAGCTAAAAGAGTCTCTCTGGTGTCTCTTCTTATAAGGGCACTAATCCCATCCCGAAGGCCCTGCCCTCAAGACCTGATCCAAACCTAATTACCTCCCAAAAGGCCCCATATCTAAATACTATTACATTAGGGTTAGGACTTCAACATACGAATTTGGCAGGGGGTGGGGGAAACACAAACGTTCAGTCCATAATGGAGATCTTATAAGACAATGCTATATCCTCCTGCTTTGGGGGAGATCTATCCCAGGATAGACTGGCTATCCTGAGGTTAACAAAACACATACCCCTACATCTCAGACGCTTAGAATAAAGGTTAATTTTTAACACATGCTCCGTGTCCAGCATGGGTTGGTGGGGACTCTGTTCCATGTCATCCTTGCTCCCGGACCATAAGGAGTCTCCACCATCAGTGATTTGGGTGGACAAGGGAGGAGAACGAGATGAATCACATGTTGGCACTTCAAGGCTTCTGCTTGCGTACGGCATGCGCATTCACATTTTCGCATTCCATTCACATTTCCTTGGCCAAAGCAAGACATATGGCCAGGCCTGGCTTCAAGGGTGTGGGAAGTTCAATCTGACCATGTTCCTGGAAGGAGGAAAATGGGATAGGGTTAGGGTTAGGGTTAGGGTTAGGGTTAGGGTTAGGGTTAAGGTCAGGGTTAGGGTGAACAGGCCTGATGGGCACCATCCATAGTAAGTAACTAGGACAGAGTGCTATCAAGGGAGTTTGTCATTGCCTTTTGCCTCCTAGTCCCTTTTTCTTTTTACTTCTTTCCCTTCTATCTTTATATCTTTTTCATTTTTTTTTCTCTCTTCTCCTTCCTTCCTTTTCCCTAAGTTAAAAAAATATTTTCTGATTGCAAAACTGATATATTCAAACTGCAAAAAATTCAAATATCATTGAAATATTTTTAAAAATTTGCCTGTTTCACCTCTCCTACCAGAGTTAACTACTCTTAACAGGTGAAGTGGGGAACATAATTTCAGAACATTTTTTTATACAATGCAAATATAAATATGACACTTCATTTTTAAATTATAAAAATAGGATCATGTACATAGTATTTTGTAACTTGCTTTGTTATTGCTTTGTCTTAGATATCTCTTTTTGTTTTTAAGTCAGGAAACAGTAACAACAACCACATGACATTAACAAAGACCATTTATTGAATACTTATTGTGTCTCTCTCACTGCTTTGGGGATGGGATATTCACTGCTCAAGACCTCAAGCATTTTATCTTTTATTAGAGAGAGATCTGTGTCTGGCTCCACTTCTATCACAAATAGTTGTGCAACCTTAGCCAGATGTTTTGGCATTATTAGGCCTGAGTATATGTTTGTATTTTTATTTTCAACGACAACAAAAAATGAAGGGGTAACCCCATGAGTCCAATTCTAATTGTATTAGGATTTTTCTTGTTCAAACTACAGATACTGACTCTCATTAAGGTAAGAAAAAGGAATTAATTGGAAGAATATTGTGTGGCTCAGAATCGAGAAGGAATAGTTGAACAATTGTGTCTGGGGACGGACAGAAACCAGGGGTCTTGGCAGATCTCTCCAGCAGGAACTTGTGGGTTGCTTCTGTAGGGTGCTGCTGTTTGGTGACAGCCTTTCCTTCCAGGGTTTTTCGGTAGAAGATTTGGCTTTCTGGAATGGAAAGGTTTATTGGTCTGGCTTAGATCAGCAACGCACTCTTCTAACCAGAGGGAGTTGGGTACTGTTGATTACTAGCCCTACTAATACCGCCTGGGATGGGGGCTGGGCAGCTTTGACCAGAGGCAAACAGAGGCACTCTTGGGAGAGAAGCAGGAAAGAAGAAATAAAAAGTGAACAATCAAAAATGGGTGTCCCCACATGTACTCGCTATTAAATTGGAACTAACGGATGAGCTCACATGTGCATAAAGGGAAGTAAATCTCAATGGAAATCAATCAGGAGGGAGGAGGAAGGAGAGGATGGGCGAAAACTTACCTAACGGGTACAATGAGCACTATCTGGGTGACAGGCACACTTTTAGCCCTGACTCAAGCATTACAAAAGCAATCCATGTAACCAAAAACATTTGTACCACCATGATACTTTGAAATTAAAAAAAAAAAAATGTTAAAAAAGGATGTTCACTGCACTATTTTACTCCCTCTTCTCTCCCTGTTTCCATCTTTCTCTCTCTCTTAACTTTCTATTATGAATTTTCTCAATTGTCTGCATTTCTGCTTATCAATGTCTTGGGTTTGACAGCATGTGATAGGCTTTGTTTAACTGTGCTGGTGGGGTTTAAGTGCTGGAGGGTCTCTAATCTTTTCTCTGATGCCTCCAAAAGAATGCCTTCTGAATCCATGGGTGAACTGCAGCACATTTGCCTATTTTTAAACATGCAGAGACTCAGTGATATCACAGTACTTTGTGCCTCTCGTGTTTTACAGAACAGCAAAATTGAAAACTCCTACATTTATTTGTAGCACTGTTTATGGTGGTGAAAATTGGAAACAAGCAAGATGATCAAGAAGGGATTGGTTAGATAAATCCCCCTGTGTCTTCCACGACCATATCATCCAGTGAGTCAACTCTTTTTTTTTTTTGTCTTTAATTATAGAACCCCAGAGAATCTGAGGACAGATACAGGCTCTCCCTCTAGAAAAATGCTCATACATTTTGCATAAAATTTCTCACAGATGTTTTAGGCATTTGCAAACCCAGTAATAGTTTACCTATAAATCCAGGAGGGGTTCATAATCATTTTATTTGTTCTTGGTGTAATGGAATACTGTCTAGGCATAATCTTTATATGGGTATATTCTTAATATGAAAACTTATTTAAAATATATGAAAAAAAAACAAGTTGCAAAGCACTCTGGGAGGCCAAGGCGGGAGGATGTCTTGAGGTCAGGAGTTCGAGACCAAGCAAGAGCAAGAGCGAGATCCCTTCTCTACCAAAAATAGAAAAAATTAGCCAGGTGTGGTGGTGTGCACCTGTAGTCCCAGCTACTTAGGAGGCTGAGACAGGAGGATCGCTTGAGCCCAGGAGTTTGAGGTTGCTGTGAACTAGGCTGACCCCACAGACCTCTATCCTGGACAACAGAGTGGGACTCTGTCTCAATAAATAAATAAATAAAACAAAACACAGATGGTAATAGAGAGTAATACCGGAAATACATGCTCTACTCACTTATTGCTCAGCCTTTTTAAAAAAATGCTTTATTGAGTTATGATTAACACACAAAAAGCTATACATATTTAATGTATACAACTTGATGAGTTTGGAGATAAGTATATACCTGTTGCTCAGCCTTTTTGTGCTGTTGGTTTTTATGGCTCTTTGACTTATGGTAGAAATAATTTGGAAGATTAGATAAAAGAAGACCATCTGCAAGCACTAAAGAGAATCCTAAAGGTTAAGTCTATAGTTTATCCCTTTTTTCTCACCATAATCATGGCATTCTTATCACTGGTCTAGATGGCATATTTAAAAATTACCATTTCATTAGGTGTGAATATACCCATAAAAAAAAAATAAAATAAAAATTACCATTTCTTTCTTGCCCCTGCTTTTAAAAGCCATGGGTATACATTGTAACAAAATAAAACATTAAAAAAGTGTGACTTTGGAAATGAAATTTCTTTTTTTTTTTTTTTTTTGAGACAGAGTCTCACTTGTTGCCCAGGCTAGAGTGAGTGCCGTGGCGTCAGCCTAGCTCACAGCAACCTCAAACTCCTGGGCTCAAGCGATCCTCCTGCCTCAGCCTCCAGAGTAGCTGGGACTACAGGTATGCGCCACCATGCCCGGCTAATTTTTTGTATATATATATATTTTTTAGTTGGTCAATTAATTTCTTTCTATTTTTGGTAGAGACGGGGTCTTGCTTAGGCTGGTTTCGAACTCCTGACCTTGAGCAATCTGCCTGCCTCGGCCTCCCAAAGTGCTAGGATTACAGGCGTGAGCCGGAAATGAAATTTCTTTATAATTCCTCTTTAGCCCCAATAGTAGCTGTCAATAGTTTAATCTATATAACCATTACACACACCTACACACACACACACACACACACGTGTGTTTAGTAAATGAAAATAGAATTGACATATATTGTTTTGCAACATGCTTTTTTATTTCATGTAGAATTTGTTTTGGATGTCTTTCTATATCAGCTTATAGAGCTCCATCTTGTTCTTTTTTTAAAAAAAACTTGCATTGTGTTCCATTGTAAGGATGCATCATAATTTATCTATAGTCTCCATGCCAGAGATCCAGTTTTTCAATATTATAAAAAATATTGCAATGGAAATTCTGCGTATACATCTCTGTACCTTGGTGAGAATATTTCTGTAGTATAGAATTCCTGGTAATGGAATTCTTATTCTTCATTAATTTTTCACCAGGTAATCGGCTTGCAGTCCCACTTGCTTTGTTAATCTGTGTGTCTTACTGAAACAGCTCTAGTTGCTCAGGTGGCCAGGGATTGACGTGGCTCAGGACCCTTGCTTGACTGAACAACTTAAACGTTAAGCAAACATGCCTTTCATAGTCTGCAGCAGCTAACATGTTTGCTTTGGTTTAATCAGTCAGAGGAAAATATATTCCAGAAGAGAGTGCCTGTCCCTACCCTATCCCCTTCTGAGCTCTATTTGAGAGAAAGAGAAGTCCAGTGACTATTTGACATAATATAGAAGGGCTAGTGAGGTTGTCACTCATGATGCCAACTATGTTGGTATGAGAAAAGGTAAGGATCATTCAAAAAAAGTTCTTGTTTTAGCGATTCAAGATATGTGGATTATTAAAACACTGATGATAAATTTGGCCCTAAATAAAGGTGATCAAATGCTATTTATCCCTCCCTGCCCCCAAATCAAAAAGTATTCCTTTTCTAGCTGTACAGGTTAAGAATTTCCCCCATGTATGGAAATGTTTATGAAAATTAAACCAAAACATATCCATGCAATGGAGTGCTGTACAGTAATGAAAGTAAATAAACTAAGCTGCACACAGTATCTTACAGGAATCTTTTTTTTAAAAAGTTGAGTAAAAGAATCCAGATACAAAAGAATTTTTTTCAGTGTAACTCCTAGTTAGTTAGTTATCTATTGCTGTGTAACAAATTACCCCAAAGCTTCCTGGCATAATGCAACAAAAATCAATTATTGTGCATGGTTTTTGTGGGTCAGGTATTCAAGAGTGGCTTAGAGCAGTTCTGGCTCCGGGTTGCTCACAAAGCTGCAGCCAATGGTTTTCTGGGCTGTTGTCATCTGAAGGCTTGACCAGGGCTATAAGACCCACTTCAAAGGTTGCTCGGTAACAAGGCTGGTGAGTCGGTCCTGGATACTGATGAGAGGCCTCTGTCCGTATCCATGTGAGCTTCTTCACACAACTGCCTGAGCTTCCTTCTGGCTCTTCCCAGAGTGACCAGTTGGAAAGCACCGGGCAGAAACCTCCATAACTTGCCATGACCTAGCCTTGGGAATTGGCCACGCAGGTCAGCCCTGATTCAACGTGGAAAAACACCCCTCGGAGGCCAGGATTACTGGGAGCTGGTGACCACAATTTCACTCATAATAAATGCAAAAATAGGGAAAAATAAACTATATTGCTTAGGGAGGCATACCTGGGTGTTAAAACTATGAAAGAAAAGAAGGAAATAGTTATCACAGAAGTGGTTACCTCTTGGAGAGAGGAAGTTGTGAGTGGGCAAGTATTGTCATTTGTAAAAGAATACCTTTATGTTTTATGCACTTTCCATAAGTGCATAAAATGTGATGTGTTTCATAATTATAAGAAAAGATTCTTTGAAGAAATTAAGCGAAAAGAGAGTTGACATAAGAAACAGAAAGTATTCTTTTCTCTAATGATATTAATATGAAATTAGCCAATAGTTCTTACCAGTTCCAGACAATTATATTGATTTCTTTACCCTCACAAAAACCAACGTGGTTGTGTGATCCCCTTTTTACAAATAAAGATATTGAGAATTAGGGTGCATTAGGTATCTTAGGTGTCAGCCAGTAAGGGCTGAGTGAAGCCAAGGATCAGACCCAGCCGGTATGTGGTTCTCGTGCAGAAAAGGAGGCCAAACTATTGGCATACCTTTTAAAACTCTCTTTATTTTTGCCTAAATTGAACAAACTTTTGAAACCCTTAGCTGGATCCATTGACTAGCCTTTTTCAGTATGTGACTAGCACCACGTAAGTAAACAGATATGTGTTTACTTACACATAGCATCACCATGTAAATGGATATTTGTTAAATAATTTAAAAAAATTTATTTATTTTGCGAAAACCCTGTATGATGCGGTCATGTGTCGAGCACTGTTCTGTGTGCTTTGCAAGTATTAATCCATTGACAGTCCTCTGACCCTCTGGTATTCACTCTCATTCACCTGTAAGAGCTAAACTCCTGGGAAACTTTGCTTCTTCACTTGCCCCAAGGCAGGAAATTCTCTGTTTTTCTTACTTCTTTACCTTTGACTCCTGGGTCTTCATATTTTAGCATACAACTGTGGCAAATCAATTCAATAGCAGTTCTTTGAGCACCTACTCCACACTGGGTTCTAGAGGGAAACAAAGATGAATATATTTTCATTTGTAACCTAAGAAATGAGTACTTGTCTTTTAAAACTTTCGACAACGTTTTGTGTTAACGTGGATGGGAACATCCAATTCCTTGAGAGGTTTATCCCTGCAACCTTCACAACAAGAAATGTGCATGCATCTTGGCTTCTTTCTGTTTCCGATTTTAGTACCTTAATAAGTGCTAAATATGCTTCATTCAGTTACTTCCTGGCATGATATTCCTCCAAATATCCTGTAGCAAGTGTTAACGCATCTGCTTTTTGTTTTAATGAAGAGATCTCAGCCTCCTTATCAGCAATACCACGGGGATAGGCTAAATTGCACCCTGAGAAATCAGTTCAGACCGGGACAGAGCCCTAGGGATGGAAGAGAAGTTAGTTATTTTGTTCAATCCATATTTGCCTAATGTACCCATGAACAACTGTGGAAAACTGAGTAAAAATCCCATTTTCATTTGCATTATCCTTGTTATCATTACATTAATAAAAAGGAGCCAATGTGACTTCGTTAGAAAACATAATTTCTTTTACTTATGGCTAATCCATTCCTTCATTTAAGAGACAGATATTGCATATCTACCATGGGCATGGTCCCGGCCCTCTAGAAGCTCATAGTTTGGGCCAGGGTAGGGGTGCACTGGGAATGCGTGTGTCCTGCTGGAGGTGGTGGTGGTGAATGTATATGGAAAGTTAAACAGATCATTATGATACAGTGAACTGCAGATGTTATATCTGAGGGACTTAGGAAAGGGGCACTTAAACCCTCCTGGGCATCTGCTGAAGTTTTGTAGGGTTGGGCAAAGCTTCCTGAATAAGATAAAACTTGAGTTGAGTTTTTTAAAGTCTAAATAATTGTGTTTGGCAAAAAGGGAAGAGGAAAAAATAATTCCAGAGAGAAACAGTCTGGGAAATTCAAGCATTTGGGGTTATTGCAGTTGCTGGATATGAAAATCTGGGAGTGACCTAAAGATAGGAGAAGGGTGGGTGGAACCAGGC